CACAAAATATAATTTTTTTTTTCATGAAGTCTTAAGGATTTTAAGCAATGCTTTTCTCATACATTTTTTTCTTTTTGCATGTTGTCTATCCAACATGAAAGTAATTTTCATTTTAAGATTAAAAATACTTTTATGCATCAGAAAATTTTCAAATTTCACATGCAAAATCTTTATAATATCCAGATAGTTATCAAACATTTCTGACGAAAAAACTTTATATTTTATCTGTTATTTTCACTAACGAATCTCTCATAGAATTGACTGGTCTTGTAACCATAAAAAAATTAGGAAATAAATATAATTATGCCTCTTTCATTCCAGAATGACAACAAATTATAACACGAAAACATAAATGTTTAGACTAAATAGCTTAAATCTCGTAACATTGTACATTTATATATATATTTATTATTTTTATTATACTGACCTTTCATCTGTGCCTGGCTAACAATACAGAAGTTACAATGATGCATTAAACTTGCTCTCATGTTACCATATCTAATAATATAAAACTGACTTTTAGTCTTGGTTGTGTTTTAATAGATTAGTATTTTGTAAAATAGTCACATTTCCATTATTATACATTATATATGTTTATAGATTATCACTATTTTGAAATAAGTTCTTAAACTTATTTTTCTTAAAACATAGAATAAAGAAGTAAAGTAAACAACTATCTCTTCTAGTTACGACCTTTGTACTCGGTTGTTCCTTGTCATAGATTGCTAAGCCTTATAAAATGTTGCACATCGAGGATATGAAACAAAATACTTTTTTTTAGGTGTTATATATTCAAATGAATAACCAAAAAATTTTAAATTACTATATCAATACCATAGAATTCCACTATAATTTATCAAGCTTAGTAACTAAACTGTATTTGGGTGTAAAAGATATGATATTTCGAACACACTAAAGACACGACCTACCTCCTAGAAATCTTGGTTCGAAAGAACAAGATGGCATCCTAACACATGAAAATGGCTGAGAAAGCCACTAGGGGGACATTCTGAGCTTTGGAATGGTTATTCATATGTCATATATTGAAGTGTGTGTATGTAAGGGACCATTTCCAAAAATGGAAAGAGGTAAATGGGGCCACTGTGTTTGATTTAGTATATGAGTGATATCTCAGCAAATAGAAAAGATAAGAGGCTCCTATTTTATATTCTAGCTTTTCAATATCAGTAATTTGAGTTCCTAATTTGTACAAACTATAGTCTTGGTATTTTGACTTCACAAACATCCAATTTGAACCAGTGCTGCATTCAACATACCACATGACACACAAAAATTGATGTTTAATTGGGTTATTTTTAATATTTACTTTTAAATTAAGAAATTAAATAATGTATAATACTAAAATTTGAATTATAATCTAAAGTTTGAT